AGACAGTGGTGGTGATAGATGTAGCGGTGCCAAGTGACAGCAACATCAGGAAGGAGTATGAAAAGCTAGAGAAGTACCAGGGCCTGAAGGAGAAACTAGAGGGGATGTGGAAAGTCAAGGCCAAAGTGGTCCCAGTGGTGGTAGGAGCACTCAAGGCTGTGATTCCTAAGCTGGGAGAGTGGCTCCAACAGATCCGAGGAACAACATCAGAGCTCTCTCTCCAGAAGACTGCAGTGCTAGGAACAGTTCAGATACTGCACAGAACCCTCAAACTCCCAGGCCTTTGGTGGAAGACCCAAGACTGAGGAAGACACATACCACCCATAGAGGTAAGAGGGGAATTTTATTCAGCAGTGAATTCCACTGACATATGCTTATCAACTCACTAAATCTCCTCACAGTATATGCTTTAAACTGTAGTGTTATTCATGGTTTGGAATAGAATTAATAAGTACTTCCACATTCACTTTAACCAATAGAAAATGATAAAATGCAGAGAAAAATCAGGAATGTTCAGCAAGTATGCACCTGTGCCATGAGGAGGTTGGGAGAATGAAACATGTAATCCCATAGCGACCTATCATTCCTTAAATCAGAAGGCATTAAGTCAAAAGTTCAACATTAAATCTATTTAATTTTGTCTTCCTATAGATATTCTGGTTTGTGTTTAAATACCTCTTGTGTGTATAAACAACTAATTCAGGATTTTCAAGAACTGCACTTATAAACTAGTAACATATATGATAAAACTGAAATGAATAAGCAGTTCAACATTATCTCACCATTTTCAGTGTAGGTACTGTAATTTCATAGTTTCTTCCTCTATACAAAAGTCCCAAAATTTTATTCTTAAAGTTTTTCAGCACAGTCATGATCTTTTTTGCACATTACATTTTCCAAAACTATTTGTTTACTATTACAAAATTAGTTGGTTAATTTCAGAAGTTTATCTTTCATTACTGAGTGACAAACAGAAACATTCACAATAGTTTGCAACACAATACTTGTATTTAAAAGAACCATTTCTCACTTGAGTGCCTGGCTCGAAATCAGGGTGTGTGAACGGTCCAGATCGCTCGAGGAACTTCTTGACATGGTTCCAGCGACCTTCCCAGTCTCCATTGTCCCCACACCCACCATCAACAGCCATTCTGCACAGAACATAGAAACTCAGCTGCAAAAAAAAGTATGAAAAACACGCACAAATAGACAAAAAACACGATCCCTTCGAGCTCAGCCTTTTGCCCTGCTGAAATACGTTTATCCCTGTACAAGTCATAAGGAGCTAGGTATTATCAATTTCATTTGATAATATTACGCAAATAAAATATGCAGGTATAGAAAAATTGACTCTGTTGACTATGGCCAATTAACATATACCCATTTATCATAGACTAATAAAAAACTGTTGTTAAAATTAAATTAAGTACTAAGTTATGAAGTCTTGAAACTGAATGTTCAGGTTTATCTTTCTAGAATAAATGATATGAAAATACTGGAATTTAAAAAGAAAAAAAGCAAAATATCTACTTACTGACGCTTGGTTTACAAAACATACAGTTAGGCTTGGGGCATTTGACACAGATGCATACAGCCCATCCAATTTGTAGGTCTATTGTTTGAATAATTTATTTTCAAATCTGATGAATTATCCAAATACTTTTAAAAGACCCAATTTAAATAGTTCAAAATTTAGATATGTGCTCTAGGATAAAAATATTTTAATTATATTGCTATCACATGTTTAGTTTTAATCTTCACTGTAGGGTTTTTTTCTTAAGTTTTCTTCACAAACTATTGAATAGTAGAGTGTAAATGGTAGTCTTTGATAAACTCAAAAATTAACATAAAACTGGCATCTGCAGGGAACTAGTGTTCTTGACCTAGGTTGGCAGAGGATGTGCAAACATTCCAAATTTGAAATGTTTTAGGCTCAAAAAAAGCTCATTCCCAACTTATTATGGGTTGTTCTAACTATTCTGGAAGCATTCTGAGCTCAAAATGGTTCCATCTGGACCTTAGAAAACAAAGGTGTTTTAAGTGTGATATCAGAGATATGGGTTGGAAATTTTCCCCTTCACACAAGTATGGTAGCTTCAAAATCATGATTTTGTTGTTACATATCCTATTGTCCAATATTGTTTCAAACATTCCAGTGAAAATAATTTTCTCCCACATATCAAGCTTTTAGTTTCTCAATGTACTGTTCAAACCTCATAAAATATCCCAGATTTTTTTCCCCACATCAAATAATATAGTCAAAAGGCTTGTGCAGACTATGAACATTGAAAATAATATGCTGATTTATTTCCACAGGGAAATTCATTTTCTGGAAAATCCTCATCTCTATGTGAAATACTTCTGAAATGGTCAGAACAACTGCATCAAGCTCAAGATGTTTGAAATGTGAAACACTGGGCACACTTATTTAGAAAATTGGGAAATACATTTTTACAGCCAATAAATATTTTAAATTATTTTTATGATTGTTTTTGAAAAAACATATTATTCCTAAGACATTTAAACCAAGTGATACATTTTTTCCACAGTTTGTATCTTTTTGTTTTAAAAGCCAAAATAGTATCTTTATTTTTTAATGTTTTTATTTATGTGATGGACTTTATTTCAAGACTGCTGTTGAGATCCTTGTACACTGCCCAGAGTCATGAGATTGGAACTGTATGGAAATTACATTAATAAAAAAATATTTCACTTCACAAATTTAGGGAGTAACCATATCTAGAGTTACCTTTGTCCAGTGTCTCTTCATCTGTAATAAGTTAACTGCTAATAATGCTCATTATTATTTTCTTTCTACATTATGCACTGGCAATCATTAACATACTGAAGAGACATCCTTCTCTCTCTAATCTCTGCAGGTGTATACTTAACATTTTAGTTAAGTGTTACTTAACATTTTAGTATTTATGTTACTAGCAAATAACTTCTTTGGCAAAATTTAAGATCCTTTTTGGATTTGTCTTTAAAATGTTTGTAAGAGTATTGATGCCCAAGTACCCCTTATGAGAGATCTGGATAAAAAGATGTAAATGGAATCCTCATTCAACCATATTTCTCACTGAGGTAGGAAGGATGATACCCAGTTTAGACTGTGGTTGAATTCACATGACTGCATATTCCTGAGTCTCCCCTGCATACAGAAAGCCATCAGAGGAGAAAGGGTTCCATCCTACTAAGCTTGCCCAAAATCTGAAGTTGCATAATCAAGAGATACAGTTCTGTGAAAAAGTATTTTTCCTGTTTTTGGATTTTGCACATTTTTGGCATTGAATGTTAATGGAGCTTCATGTGGGTCCTACTGATATATATAGGGAGTCTTGGTAAACAAATCAAACCAAAGTTAAATGCTTCCTTCCTTCCTTCATCATTTATGTTATTCAGTATGCATATGTGCTGGTGTGAAAAAGTAATCACCCCTTAGATTCAATAACCAGCTGTACAGCCTAGGAATTGCAACCAAATGCTTCCTATAATTGGTTACCAGTTATTTTATGTACATTGCTGAGGCGGGAATTTTGTTCCATTTCTTCAAGACACACTGCTTCAACTCAGTAACATAAGGATTGTTGTTTCAGGTCCTGCCATAACATTTCTACAGATAGTCCTCATTTAGCGACCATAATTGGGACAGGCAGCTCTGTCATTAAGCAAAGCAGTCATTCAGTAGCAAAGCAGTCAAGTGATTGTGACTGTAGTTTCCTTTTCCCCACTCCCCCGCCCTTTGGAATGCTCACCCCGGCACTGGGATAATTAGCAAAAAGG